TAGTGAGCTCATTGCTCACAATACCTCTAGTTTCTCTGTCAATTTGGCCGTTCGGATTAACTTTTCGTCCAAATTAAAATTATTTTTCAATTTATGAAGTTTCGACATCCCGCCTGAAAAAAAACCCTTGATCTGTCCTAAGGCTTAGTAAAGGACAGCACAAAGTGCATAGGATCTTATACCTATTATTGCCCTAAGAGATGGTTACAGAGTGAGAGAGAGAGGGAGAGAGAGAAAGAGATAGTTAGTTAGTTCAATATACAATTAGTAAATAAAAATTATTCAACCAGTGTCAAGACCCCCTACCTTAGCTTTTAGAATTATCTCCCAAATATTCTCTTACAGAAATTATTTTTAAATAATAAAAAAGTAGCTAGACTATCAGGCAGGGATCCTGAAATCTCGAAAGCCTCTCTATAACACCATAATTATAAAACATTTATACATACCTCAAAATGCACATACATTGTGGTCGGAGTGACACATTTAAAATAAAATTTTCAAATTGAATTCTGCAGAGATGTCCGTCTTCCAAGAATATTTAGATAACGGTCATGTCAATTATTTTTCACCCCCCCCCCCCCGGCCTAAAAAATCAAATGCCTAAATGTCAATCTGAACAGGGGTTGGCATTTCTTCGTGTGTTTGTGTGTTAAAGAACGTATAGATCTTTGTACACATAAAAAAAATTATTCTGGTTAATTGCTTTTAAGATTTGAAGTAAATAATTGTCGTAAATCAAATTACTAGATTTGAGATTAGCACTACAATTATCAGTTATAATTGACAAATGAATTTTGCGACGCAAACCAACTGCAGACTATATATACATGACTTTGTAAATAATGTATATTAGAACTACATGTAGATAAACAATTCACAATTACAGCTTATGAACAACAGTTATACCCCCCCTCTTCAGCCGTGCAAATACCAAATAACTTCTCTTTCCACTTGTGATATTTTCCCTGACCAAAATCTGATTAGCACGGACTAGGTGTTTCAACGTGCTTGTATGTACGAAGTAATGACAGTGTCTTTACTATTTAGCTTTTACGGAGTTTATTTCTTTTTCGTGATGCATATTTCAATAAATGGAATTCAGGGTGAATTTCACTTGACTTGTGCACATCTTCAAACCGATGCAGTAACCTTATTACCAGGTATGGGTATGTTAAAAGCGTTCGAGGCGTTTTCTCTATATGCACCAATTGCATAGGGTCTGCAAATCAAAGACGTTGGTTGTTTTGCGCCATTCAAATGATATTAATTTCAAAATGTGTTGCAGATTTTACTGCTTTTTATTTCAAGTTTATTCTGCATAAATTGGCGCACTGTAAAAGTACGTACTCGTGCATCTAAATTTCTCACCAAACTTGCATTTTTTCTTTTGATTCAAATCAATAATTATTCAGAAATATGATTATTATTTTGTCTCTTGTGGTTTTGAAATGTCTTGATTTCCTTATGTGTTCTCATGTATGCTTTACCATCGGAGATGTGCACAAGTCGATACCCAAACCCAAAAATCATTCAAGTGTAACGAGCGCATTGGTGTATACATCGTTACAATGAGACAAGGTATCTGAGAGAAATGTGGCGGAATACAGCTATCGTTGGTATGAAACAAGTCGTACATTGATGAAAAAGTTGCGTTTTTAAGAATTCATGTCAGCTTTAACCAAGTAATTTTCATGTTATGGTTAAATAATTGATTGCTTTATTTCAGTTAAATTATACCTTGACATTGAATTACTAGTACCTAATCATCAGGCGCGTTGTCAAATATTTTCCTTAGTTAACCTAAAGTACATGTATTGTCAAAACTGATAATACGGTGCCTGAGAAAAATGCAGAAAAATTGTCTTATTCAATTTCGCTTTTATTTCTTTGTGTTTATAGATTAGCATGTTGCTGAAGTCTTATACTTCACTCCTATCCAACGATTATATTTAGTACCATATTACATTGTAAATTAGTTTGCATCTTCTTGTTTCTTTTCCCAGATGCTTCAGTTCAGAATTTCATCAATCAATTACGTAACAGTGTTAAGTAGAGAATCGCTGTACATGAAATAGTTTGAGAAGCAATAAAAGCTTTCAATAACAGCAAGGGAATGGTCAGCATGTGTTACGCTCTGTCAAGATTGTTATCGTCAGGGTTAGAGTTATTAAGGTAGTCCAATCCTCAGGTATATAAAATCAAAAATACTCATAAAAGTATCTCTAAATCCACAAAGTTATGTAAATTTATCCACAAAATTTCTTTGAAGTGAGAGATTAAAGTTAAGCATATTATATAAGGAAAATTGTCAAATCTCCAATATTTTTTCAGAAAAAGCGAATTGGAATATCAGCAATGCATTTTCTAATTGCAAATTGATCAGCAGTATTATTTTAGGTTTAAAAACAACGGGCCAGTTTCATTTGTCACTGATCGGCGTACGCCGAATTGCACCGGTCATATGACCGGCGTAAAACGGCTAAGAGGCAAATGAAGTAAACCGGCGAAAGCATTTTTAAAAAATGAATAATTACGGTAAATGATAATCAATTAATTAAGTTTTATCCCTTTTCACATTATGTCTTAGGAGAAAAATTCAAAATTCAATTAAATAAAAAACAATGAACCTCATGAAAAATTTTATTTTTCAGAAAATAAAAACATATTTTAAATATATGAATAGAGATTTGCTCAAAATATGCAAACAATAACAGAACTTGTCAATTTGGTAAAAAAATGCCTGAATTTGTTGTTTTATCTTCCCGCCATATTTCTAAGACCGGCGATTTCCTCGCCGGTCATTTCAGACCGGCGCATTCGGCGTACGCAGGCGAACCTTCCCTGGTCAAATGAAGTAACAAGCCAGGTTACGAAAGGTCAAGCGGCGCAGTCGGCGTACGCCGGTGTGACAAATGAAATTCTACCAATAGGTATCCAGACATTTAGAGAAACTGTCATGATTTTCATACTTATTTAGTATTTTTTGTCCTCTATTTCCGTCATGTATTCTATAATACATAGTGTAAAAAGCTTTTGCGATCATTGCAATACACCACAAATCACTTCTCATTTCATATCATGCTAATAATCATCTAAGACGTGATTAAAGAAAATCTTATTTATCTAAAACTGTATTATTTTTTTTCTCCTTTTATGGGGTACAAATGTCAACTTTTATAAGACCTTTTCTAGGACTTCCAAAGTCCTTGAATCTTTTAAATTTCTTTTTCAAGCTTCATTTTGGTGCATTTTAAATTAAATATATTAATTTTTTGGAGTTATCCTTCCTGACTGAGGATCAGATATCCTTAATACGCGCCCATTAAGTGATCAAAGATCTTCCCACTGATTTCACCATTTACAACCTACATTTTAGGGTTAGAATTTTTGTTGAATAAAAAAAATCAGTTAGGTCATTTAACATATGAAACATTACTTGAAAAATGCTCAGCCGGGATCTTGAAATATCTTTAAGCCTACGTCGATCGATATTTTTATTTTACACCCCCCCCCCCCCCACTTGAAATGTGGAAGGGTATATAGTAATCGGTATGTCCGTCTGTTACGCTTTGGGGTACCCATCTCTTATCCGCAACTCCTCTCATACCACTGAAGGAAATTTAATGAAACTTTCTCAAAATTTTTATTACATATTGCCATTGTGCACCTCCTATTTTACTTTTTGATCTGACATATATATATATATATATATATATATATATATATATATATATATATATATATATATATATATATATATATATATATATATATATATATATATTGTATTTTCCAGAGCAAAACATGAATACTTCCATTATATTCATATGGGAGGCGGAGGTATTATTTAATGAGCTCATCGCTCACAGTTCCTCTAGTTTTATAATAAAATGTTGTAAAAGTCAAGCATACCAAAAGGGTTAGGGATATTTTTAACATTGCTTTACAGAGATGTTATATGCAAATGAAGAAATAAATTCCATAATAATAAATATTTTATCGGCGATTAAAAACTTCACTTAAGTCTAAATAAGAGTCTTAGTTTGATTTAAAGTTATTTAACATAATTTATTATTTCTGTCCGCTTTATGAATTTAAGCAAACCACGTCAGACAAGCTTTTTAGGAAAGCTAATACTTGTATATATCCTATATCCCAAAACAGTCAAATGTTGAACAATATACGTTGATAACAGATACTATACTGTCAGTGCGAATTCATATAAATCAATGAAAACCATGTAATTTAATCTAAACTTATAAAATCTTCAGACATGCACTGCTATCACTGCACATGTACATGTTATCAGACGAGGCAATGGGAGTCTGCAATCTCGCAAGTTTATGAACAGTCAACTTCCAGTTTCCTTTGGCTGATTGGGGTGTCCGGAACATGATGAAATGTGATTTTAAAAATTGTCAGAATTGTTCCTGAGCCTCTAAAATGCTTTGATAATGTTCATAGTTTGTAGATTTTACAAAACAATCCTCTAGGGGTATTCTGTGGGAAACGACCTAAACATGCTGACATTCGCTAAATCAAAGAAAAGTTTACGAACAATTTATTTATTTCAATTGAAATAGATTTATCAATACTCTGACTTATTAATTAACAATAAATTTCCCTTCAGTTCCATTAATTAAATGTGTAATTTGCATTTTACGACTTGCATAATGTATGGAGACCCATTGACCACGTAAAATGCTGACAAGAATCCATCCTTAATTTTATCCTTCCTTTTTTTCTTTCATAATTTATCTTGAGTACTGCATTTTTATTCAAATTATTTTAAATATAATATTCATACTGAAATTGATGACATTTACACTGTTGAATCCATTGTCACTTTGATAGAAGCGTCAAAAGGGACACTGACCTATTACCTAGTAGACAATACACTTTGATATCCATTAAAATGGATTAATTAAATTCAATTATCTAAGAAAGAGCGAAATATTCGAGGGCCAAAATCAGTGGCAACCGCTTAGATCATGCTTTGAAAAATGGAAAGCCCGGAGGCGGAGAAGTAAAATGAACCTTTGGTTGGTGTGTCTTGGGATTCAATTTCGGAATATTGTCTACAGATAAATGCATTTTTAATATTTTAAAAAAGCCATACAGTATTAAAGAATACCAGGTAAGTCTTTAAGCATCAGTAATTAAAACGAATAAAATAAAATAAAGTGCATAGTGGCGAACTTTCGTTTTTATGCACAGTTACTTGAAGGTACAGACACATTTATTACTTACAGTCAATAATAAATTTTGCTGCCAGCAAAATGATTCAAATGATGTTAGATATTAGATAAGGTCCAATAACAATGCTAATGGTAATTATATAATATAATGTTTTAAAGTCTACTTTCGTTTTAGAAAAAAAACACTGGTGATTCACGACTGGAGGATCTAAATTAGGCCTACTTCAAATTGTTAGTATAGCGAGTATGCGATCGGACCTAACATCTAATTTTAATTAGATTTACGCTATGGTAGGGTAAACTGGGGTAATTTCGACCACTTATGCTGACATATGGCTTTCAATCTGCAAAACTCGGCTGTTTTTAAATGTATACAAGTTGAAAATAGATTCGAAGTAAAGAAGAATGATATTTTCTTCAAATTTTATGCTTTACCAACTAAAAATATGTTAAAAAATAATAAATTGGTTCAAAAATTAGTAACTATGATACCTGGGTTAATTTCGACCAGGCTCGGGGTAATTTCGACCACAACAAACATCAACAGGAAAGATAACTCTTACAAAGAAATTAAACCTTAACTATCGCATTTTATTCAACATTTATGTTCTAAGAAAATAAACTGTTTGTTATAGGAAATATAGGTGTCTGTCAAAAAAAATCAATTACATGTTTTAACAGCATTATACTTACAAGTATGTTTGTTGATTTAATAAAGAAATGAGTTGGGTTACCACTGACAAGTTTTTCATTGCAGACCGTTTGACGTTTTAAATTCATTCTTATTCATTATTCTGCATCTTAATTCACCAAATCTAATTTCCAAACGATGCTTTTTTTGTAATGCAGTAGTTATGGAAACAAATTTCCTTCTAAATATTTTTAAACTGTCCAGCCCGTACTGTACTTCATTTCAAATCGTCTTTTCCGAGGCTTTAAACAGAATCAGTGTATTTTAAGTTTGAACGCTTTTAAGCATATACCAAATCGGAATTTATTTGAAATGAGTTGTATTACGAATTGTTTTGAAAATGAATAAAAATATGTTTTGTTAATTGTTTAAAATCCTGAGAAATTCTATCAAATCATATGAAAGAAGTGTGGAAAAGCCCTCTGAGCCCCCCCCCCCCCCTTCCCCCGCGATGAAAAAAACTCAAACAAATGAATTATTAATTAGTTTTGAAATCATATTTTTTCTTTCAATATTGTTGCAGTTCTTTATGTGTGTTATTCAAACAGCTTGCTTGATACATATATTAATGTACTTGGATTTGTGTACATGGACTGCGTGATACATGTAGTACTACGTTCTTAAAACTACTGGTTCTTGGATTCCGATATCCTCATAATTTGTCTGTCAAACAGATAAATTCATTCTGTAATCATTTTTAATTCTCTCTGCATATTTTCATTTATTAATTTGAGATTTTTAAAATCGTTTTGATTGCTATCGCCATGTGTAAAGTTCTCTACGTCGATCAGAGAGTGTACCCTCACCGCACTGCTCCATATTCTCAGACAATATAGGGATACATTGTAGATCGCAATGCATGCATATATTTTTTAATTGTACCTTATTTTCTTTAAAATTTAAAGATTTTTTTGTATTATACAGTATAATATTTTATTTCATTTCAGAAATTTAAATCAGCATTGAATATTATACAGCCCTTAAACATAACTTACACATATTTCGCCTTATTACGTCACTGGTCGAAATTACCCCGCGTCCTTAAAAACAGTAGGGGTAATTTCGACCAAATTCAAACAACGTTTCTTGTGCTTTTTGAGAAAAATTCGCGGTAAAAATGTGAAATTCAGCTACTTATTGCACTCCAAGAAAATAATATTATAATTTCAATTTTATCAAACTGGTAAAATGTTGAACATTGTCTAGCTCAAAGAGAGGTCGCACGAGTTATCTCTATTGTTTTTCGTTTATCACATCAAGCGCACTGAAGACGGACTTCCGAGTGTCAAACTGGAGGGATAAAAAATAGTGAAATAAAATAGCTATACCTCTGACCAAACAATTTCTCCGATGAGAAATTATACTAGGGTATCCAATTTTAGGAATTGTTTACTTTAAAACCGAATTAAAGAAACTTGTCTCAACAATGCCATAAATCATGATGCAGTGTTGTGTTTGTGTGGTCGAAATTGAACCGTGGTCGAAATTACCCCGACTTACCCTAATCTTTGTCTATGTTACCTGGTTCAATATTATTAAATTCTATCTATCAATAACTACAAGATCTAGGAAAACATATTTACTGAAGACACGACTGCAATGAATAAATGATCTGACACCTACCTAAGGTATTTAGAAATAATAAAAAAAAATACAAATGCACGAGGAAATTCTTGCTTTGGTCATAACTTTGACGTAGCGAAAAATAAGAATATCTGACACAAAACTTCGTGATAAGAGTTTCCATAATTTAACGGTGCAATAACTTTAGAAGATCATGCTTGTACAACAACTTGTATCGTCTCGTATCCTATTTTCGACCGTATTGTATTTTCGACCTACTTTTCTCAATCTGTTTCCCGTGCAGATTCCGCGCGGTAGAACATTATTTTCGGTTGCTACACTTGGAAAAATACCTTTCAAGCGCAACTGTAGTGAAAATACCTAAAATAATATAAGGATATGGAAATAACGAACAGTATTCAATCTCAACGTCCATTAAACAAATATACAAAACAAGAGCAGAGCAAACACGGACCTCCGAAACATCAGAGGTGGGATCAGGTGCCATGGAGGAGTGAGCATCCCCTGCTGACCGGTCACACCCGCCGTGTGCTCATTGTCATAATCAGGAAATAACGGAAAAAAATCCGTAGTCAATTCAGTGTATAAATAATGGACTAACAATTGGTATGAAAAACGTCAGTCAGCATTTCATTCAATGATAAATTGTATTTGCTGACAAGGTCATTGTATCGACCATAGAATTTACGAAATGATGACTTTAAACGAGACTGTTGATATTCTTGTTTCATCAACTTGCTTGTCAATGATTTACCTCGTTTAAGAAATTGTTCATACGTAGAGCATGCTCTTGCGTATCGAATCAACTGAGATATAAATACTCCGTATGCAGGTGATGAAGGTATATTGCTGCATAAGTAAGGGAAGTTGAAAAGTTAAAGTCATCACGTTTATCATATAGCTTGGTTGTTAGATTACCATTTGTGTCTTTTTCAAGTAAAATATCCAAATATGAAGCAGATGTGTTGGACTCTGTGGTATCTTTTATCTCAAGCTCACCAGGATATATCGTGTCGACGTAGGAATGGAAATTATCATTATTAATTGACAATACGTCGTCGATATATCTAAATGTCGAGTTGAAGGCCACAGCAAGTGTTTTTTTCTTTTCACGCAAAAGATTTTGCATAAATTCTGCTTCATATGAATATAAAAATAAGTCTGCTAATAACGGAGCGCAATTTGTACCCATGGGAATTCCAATAGATTGTTGGAATACTTGGTCTCCAAAAACCACATAGATATTGTCAATCAGAAACTCAAGCATCTTCTTGATGTCAACTTCAGAGTACTTATGTGTACAATCAGAATCTGTTTTAACAAAATAATTTTTCAAATGACCAATGACGAGGTAGGTAAACTTACGAGTTCCATTTTTGTTGAAGAAGCAGCTGTCAATGATATCAAAAAAATTAATTCAACGGAATTCCATCCGTGGTTTTAGTCTGATGTCAGAAATTATAGTCTTTTTACTAATGCACATTTTATCTGTTGATTAATCAAAGCCGTAATCGATTAATTACATAGATTTTTTGATGACATTTTCCCGAAAGAAAATTCAGATCTCTGTCAAAGAGACGCATGAATATTGAAATGAATGGGTGGATCAAACGAATTTTTTTTCTCCCTTAGAAATGGGCACTTTCTTACAGATTTTTACTGAAAAATGCAACGTAATTTCATTGATTTCTTTTGGAAATGCACAGCTCGTGACAAATGGGTTCAACCAACTAATAAATGTATTTGCAACTGAAATATCGAACTTGTTCAATGTTTTTTTGAAAGACAGACAATCATATTTTTATTGTTTGGAATATCCAACAGATATTTAAAGCCAATACTATTTGGTCATTGATACTATTTTTAGGTCGAAAACACAAGACGCTAATATTTTTGTAGGTAAAAATGCACCCTCCCCATATTATGGCATATAAATAAAATAAACACAAAACTGCAATTTGGGTTGTATAATTTTATTCATAGACACATATGCTAACATTTTAAGCCCATAGTTTTTCAGTTTCTATAAAGTTTGCAATAAATTAATAAATTATATCTAAATAGGTCGAAAATACAATACGCCAGGATAGTGATTCTTATTGTTTCTAGGATATATATTAGGACCCTTACTTCATGTCATTAGATCAAATCACCGAGTACAAAAATTGTTAATTTTATAAATCTTAAAAACTATTTTTTTGAAAAAAAATCTTTTGTTATTGAGGAAATATTTTGAGGTCACATATGGCATGCGGGTTTGTTACTGTGTACATAAAGTAACACAACTACATAGTTAAATGTTCATTTGGACACATTATTTTAATTCTTGAATTGATGTAGTCTTATCTTTTCTACTAAACAAAAGACATAAAAAATATACACATGTACATACATAACATTCTAACGAGTCGTAAATTTGCAGTATGGCACTCTAGCAAACAGGATGAAATCGGTGAACAGTATTTTAATTTAAGCAATTTTACTAGTTCCCTTAGTGCATGAGCAATGTGTAGTTTTAGATAGTTCTAATTTGTTTTTTAGCTCACCTGAGCCGAAGGCTCAAGTGAGCTTTTCTGATCACATTTTGTCCGTCGTCCGTCCGTCTGTCCGTCTGTCTGTCTGTCTGTCCGTCCGTCTGTAAACTTTTCACATTTTCGACTTCTTTTCAAGAACCACTGGGCCAATTTTGACCAAACTTGGTACAAAGCATCCTTGGGTTAAGGGGATTTTAAATTGTTAAAATTAAGGGACATATCCCCTCGCAAGGGTAGATAATCAAGAAAAGACAAAAATAGGGTTTGGTCATTAAAAAATCTTCTTCTCAAGAACCACTGGGCCAGTAAAGCTGAAACTTATGTGGAAGCATCCTGGGGTAGTGTAAATTCTAAATTGTTAAAATCATGACCCCCAGGGATAGGGCAGGGCCACAATGGGGAATCAAAGTTTTACATAGAAATATATAGGAAAAATCTTTGAAAATCTTCTTCTCAAGAACCACAGGGCCAGTAAAGCTGAAACTTATGTGGAAGCATCCTGGGGTAGTGTAGATTCTAAATTGTTAAAATCATGACACCCGGGGGTTGGGCGGGGCCACAATGGGGAATCAATGTTTTACATAGAAATATAAAGGAAAAATCTTTGAAAATCTTCTTCTCAAGAACCACTGGGCCAGAAAAGCTGAAATTTATTTTGAAGCAACCTAGGATAGTGTAGATTCTAAATTGTGCAAATCATGACCCCCCGGGGTTGGGTGGGGCCACATTAAGGAATCCAAGTTTTACATAGAAATATATAGGAAAAATCTTTAAAAATCTTTTTCTCAAGAACCACTAGGCCAGAAAAGCTGAAACTTATGTTGAAGCATCCTGGGGTAGTGTAGATTCTAAATTGTGCAAATCATGACACCGGGAGTTGGGCGGGGCCACAATGGGGAATCAATGTAGTACATAGAAATATAAAGGAAAAATCTTTGAAAATCTTCTTCTCAAGAACCACTGGGCCAGAAAAGCTGAAACTTTTTTTGAAGCAACCTAGGATAGTGTAGATTCTAAATTGTGCAAATCATGACCCCCCGGGGTTGGGCGGGGCCACATTAAGGAATCCAAGTTTTACATAGAAATATATAGGAAAAATCTTTAAAAATCTTCTTCCCAAGAACCACTGGGCCAGAAAAGCTGAAACTTATTTTGAAGCAACCTAGGATAGTGTAGATTCTAAATTGTGCAAATCATGACCCCCTGGGGTAGGGTGAGGCCACAATGGGGAATCAATGTTTTACATAGAAATATATAGGAAAAATCTTCGAAAATCTTCTCCTCAAGAACTTCTGAGCCAGAAAAGCTGAAACTTATGTGGAAGCATGCTGTTTTAGTGTAAATTCTAATTTGTTCAAATCATGACTCCCAGGGGTTGGGCGGGGCCACAATAGGGAATCCAAGTTTTACATTGAAATATACAGAATAAATCTTTGAAAATCTCCTTCTAAAGAACTACTGGGTTAGAAAAGCTGAAACTTATGTGGAAGCATTCTGGGTAAGTGTAGATTCTAAATTGTTCAAATCATGAACCCTTGGGGTTGGGCAGGGCCACAATGGGGAATCAAAGTTTTACATAGAAATATATAGGAAAAATCTTTGAAAATCTTCTTCTCAAGAACCACTGGGCCAGAAAAACTGAAACTTATGTGGAAGCATACTGGGGTAATGTAGAATTCAAATTGTTTAAATTATGATCATTGGGGTAGGGTGGGGTCACAATATGTATTACAAGGTGGAAATCTGGTAAAGAACGGAATGGCCAAAGCTTCTCAGGTGAGCGATGTGGCCCATGGGCCTCTTGTTATTATCAAATTTTTGGATTGTTTGTTACATTTCAGAAAAGCATTATGGCCTCCTCCTCTTACGCGTCTACAGAGGAGACGACAAATGCCTGTAGAGCCTGTCGGCTTCTCCTTGGTCCATGTACTGATGAACTACGTGATGTTTTACGTCATTATGTACCACCGTCAACATTCCCACACGTCATTAAAATAAAGAGGAGTAATCTTCCCCGTCTGACAGCTCAACAGATGAATCTTATTTTACCTAGAGGTAGTACTTATACAGGAAACTATGGTGACATGGACATTTCCTTATTGTACATACTACTGAGGAATATTTGTGGTATACCACCACACAGCAATGGCTGGGGATTTGATCCAGACCCTACAGATCGATCTCTCTCTGCCAATATTGAGAGAATACGTATTGCCAGAAATCAGTGTGTACATTCTTCTAGTCCTTTCCTCTCCAATGCCGATTTCAACACAATCTGGTCCACTGTCAGATCAGCAGTTGTGGAAATTGATTCTTTCCTTGGCAATGGAAACAAATTTGAAAAAGCAGTGGACTTTCTGAGACAGGAGACAATGGACCCTCTCAGTGATTGTCGTTACATAGAAGAACTGAGAAAACAGGCTGAAGAAGATGCAGAAATTAGAGAAATTGTTCAAGGCCTGAAACGTAAATATAATGACTTAGTTTGACATTGAACTTATGAAATAAAACTTAATACTGTTCAAATTTGTTTCTACAGTTAATGCTTTGTTATAACGCAAAACAAAATAACAACGCAAAATGTAATAAACTGTGGTTATTACATTTTATGATATAACTTTTTTTTTCCTACCAGAAAAATTAGAAGAGAATGAAAGGGACAGAAATGAGAATCACAATAAAATACTAAAGATTGTTGGTAAGTACATTTCTATTTTTAAAAAAAATCCTGGGAAAAATTTTTGAACTGCTTTCAAGGAATCAAATCAAAAGAATGACTACACTTAAAGCTGAACATGACTCGTAAATAGGTATATGCCATTTTTGATAGCATTATCTACGATACATCAATACTAGGGTATACTCGTCGCTTTCGTTACACCTGACTGCTTTATTTAATAATAGTAATAATACTTTATTTATAGAAGGTAACCCGATTAATGCAAGCACTAGTCTTCCTCGGGGCCCTCTTTATAACACATATACAATGTGTATACACAATTAATACAAATCACAATAAGGAGACAATAAAAAAAAAATGGACAGTACATGCATGTTACCAAATAAATAAATAAATATAAAATGAAACATACACATTTCAGCATTGAGAGAGAGAGAAAAAAAAAAGAAAAGAAAAATCACGTAGAGCCATTGCGTTTCACAAGCAAAAAATTTTCAACACTTTTTAGCTCACCTCAACGAAGTTTGGGGGAGCTTATGTGATACCGTCGGTGTCGGCGTCGGCATTCCGGGTTAAGGTTAAGTTTTTTGGAGCAGTTTTCTTTTTAAGTACTTCTATGTCCTATATTGATTAGACATGCATGGAAGATGTTGCTAGTGAGTTTCATTGTACCAGTCAAAGTTTCAGATGCTGAAATTTCAGCAAAGGAATGAACAGGTTAATGTTTTTGGTGCAGGTTAACATTTTTGGTGCAGTTTTTGGTGTAGGTCTCATTTCCGAGTAACTATAAGCCCTATGTTGACCAAACTTAAATGGATGATACATCTTAGGATGCATACTACCAGCCTTGCTTCGGATGCTGAATCTGACCTACATTTTCCAGTTGAGTGAACAGGATAAAGTTTTTGGTGAAGATTTCATTTCAAAGATACTTTGAGCCCTATAATGACCAAACTTGCATGGATGGTACATCTTAGGATGTATTCTACTAGACTTGCTTCGGATGCTGAATCTGATCTACATTTTCCGGTTGAGTGAACAGGTTAAAGTTTTTGGTGAAGGTTTCATTTCCAGGTTACTATGAGACATATAATGACCAAACTTACATGGATGATACATCTTAGGATGCATACTACTAGACTTGCTTTGGATGATGAATCTGACCTACATTTTCCGGTTGAGTGAACAGGTTAAAAGGTTTTGGTGAAGGTTTCATTTCGAAGATACTTTGAGCCCTATAATGACCAAACTTGCATGGATGGTACATCTTAGGATGTATTCTACTAGACTTGCTTCGGATGCTGAATCTGATCTACATTTTCCGGTTGAGTGAACAGGTTAAAGTTTTTGGTGCAGGTTTCATTTCCAAGTAACTTTGAGCCCTATAATGCTGGATTTTAATTACATTTTCATAATGAAGAACTAGTTTTTAGTTTTTATATAAGTCTATTCCAAAGTATCAAAATTGCATAAATTTTGCATTTTTGGATGTACTCTTTTTGTTGGTTAATTGTGTGACTTAAAGACAACACACGTTGAGGTGAGCTCTGTAATCTCTGATTACCTATGTTTTTAAATACTGTAAGGGATTGGGAATTCCTTACACTTATTGGTAGCTCATTCCAGATTATAACTCCTGAATATTGTAAAGAATTTTTAAATAAGTTACTTTTATATTTTGGTAATCGCAGTTCGGAGTTTGTTTCTGAGCGTAACGTGTATGATCCAGAGCTTTGAAATTCAAAAAGATTATGCATATAATCCGGAGACATACCATTAAATATTTTGAACATTAGAATGCTTTTTTGTAAATATAAAAGTTCATAAACCGTTAACCAGCTTAAAGTGTTAAATAAAGGCATTGAAGGTGTATCATATTTTTCATTTAAAATAATCCTAGCCGCTCGTTTTTGTAATCTGTAGACTCTATCCATGTGCGTTTGAGGACAGTTGCCCCAATGGACAGACAATATAAAATTGATGGTAGAATAAAAGCATTATAAAACAGTTTTCTAGTGTGCATTGGAAGGAACTTTTTAATTTTTCGTAAAGTGAATATCTTATATGTAAGAGTTTTGCAAACTGCATCTACATGACAAGTATATTGTAGATTATGATCAATGTGAATGCCTAATAATTTGTGCATTTCTACATTTTCAAGAGTATGTCCGGAAAGTTGTAAATGAAAATTAACATTTTCTAATTTAGATTTCTTTTGTTGAGTTCCCATTAACATACACTTTGTTTTCTCAGTATTTATAATCATCTGATTTTGTTGGCACCATTTTTGTAGTTGATTGAGTTCATGATTTAGAGTTGTTTCAATATGTGAAATACTGTTATCATGAAAATGCATTGTAGTGTCATCAGCAAACATATCAATATTACAATGTTCAACAGACAATGGTAAATCATTAATATACAATAGAAACAACAAAGGACCTAAAATAGAGCCCTGTGGCACACCTGCTGTGACTGGCAGTGATTCAGATGTGTACGCACCAATTTTTAGGTCACCTGAGTAAACTCAGGTGACCTATTGCTATCCGTTTTCGTCCGTCGTCGTGTGTCGTGCGTCGTGCGTCGTGTGTTAACATTTGAACATTTTCATCTTCTTCTCTGAAACCACTGAACCAATTTCAACCAAATTTGGCACAAAGCATCTATGGGTAAAGGGGAACAAAAATTGTGAATTTCATGATCCCTGCCCCCCTGGGGCCTGAGGGGTGGGGCCAAAACCACTAAAATTAATGCAATCTTTAAAAATCTTCTTCTTTACTCCTGGACAACAAGCAGGCAAACTGTTTGCATGATTGTAATCAGCAATGAGTCCTCTACCAAAATTGTGAAATTCATGGCCTTAGGGTCAGGGGTTATAGTGCTAGGGCGGGGCTAAATAAGTAGGTAGTGAAAATGCATTATTTCTTTGAAAATCTTCTTCTCTGCTCCTGGGTATTAAATAAACCAACTGAGTACATAGTTATGATGAGCAAGAGTGCCTCTACCAAAATTGTGAATTTTATGGCCCCAGGGTCAGGGGTTCTGGTGTTAGGGCGGGACTCTATTGATTATATAGTGAAAATACATGAATTCTTTAAAAATCTTCTTCTCTGCTCCTGGGTATTAAATAAACAAATTAAGTACATAGTAATGATAAGCAAGTGTGCCTCTACCAAAATTGTGAATTTTGTGGCCCTAGGGTCAACGGTTCTAGTGTTGGGGGGGGGGGGGGCTCTATTGATTATATAGTGAAAATACATGAATTCTTTGAAAATCTTCTTCTCTGCCCCTGGTTAATATGCTAATGATCTAATTACATATTTAATGCAAGGATTTATTTTTTTTTTTATTTTTTAAACCCTCCACTCAAGGTTTTGAATCTTCAGAAAAAAAATAAAACATTTTTTTCTTTCCTATGTCAAATTTGAGTCGGGATCGAGATTTCAAATTTACGAACTCGCACTTCCGGTTGGATGAAACTGCGGGTAAATAAAGAGAAGAGCTTGGTTTAGTGTAAAATTCATCGATAAGAGTGCCATTCAAAACGTTTCACCCGTTCAAAAGACAAATAAAATGCTGACGAATTTGTTGCACAATGACATGATGGTGAGATAATTATGTATTCGTTTCAAAAGTAACTGTAAATTATTTTCCTCCCCCAGGTTTTTAACTGCCCGTGATAGCTATTGCATATTGCCAGGGACATTGTTTAGGTATCTATTATAGCTTACAGTCTAAGCATCATTCCTCAGAAAAGGGTTGCTTATGCATCAGGTGTAATGAATAAAACTATGGGAGAAGTGAAGTCAAATTTGAGGAAGAAATAAACAATAACTTGAAGAAATAAAAAAAAATTCAAATATTAAAAGGCAAGAATATACAAATATATACAGACATGTAGTATCATTTGTATCAACCAGAAAAATTATTTTACACTCAATTGAAAAAAAATATTGACCCTACTCCCCAATACTCCCTGTCTGTTTTATGATAGGAATTATAATTTTAGGCATCAAGTAAATTTTAGAACAATGTCTACACATTCATATAACACATATTAAAGAAATGAAAATATTTTGAAATATAGTAGGGGGCTACTTGTGTCAAACCGGAAGCCGGAATTACCGTTTTCGGTTTTAAAATTATGGTACATATAATATTAGCAAAAATGTAAACAACGTCTATAGAAATGTTGGAGGGGTGTATAAAGATGATTGAGGTTATTTTTTGTGCAAGGATTGAGATTCATACAGTATGTAGCAAAAAATTGAATCGATTTAAAACACAAGCGCGAGGTCAAATGCCGGACGTGCTATTCAGATGCGGTGTATTTTTAGCCTAGGAGGTTACAATGATACTAGACGTTTACGATTGCATTGGTACATCTCAGATATTTCCGATATCTATGTACAGAAAACGTGGTCAATAATTTGCTATTATGTCATTGAATAAACTTTTCGTTTGTTGTTTTTATATATGCACAATTTGTATGCAGTGCAGATGGGATTTTCCTACTTTCGGTTTTGACGGCAAATTTTCTTCATACGAACGCAGGTACTCAGTTATAATTAAAAACCAACAAAACATATTTCTAAAAATGCATATGCAATATCAGACATGATTTTGCTTTAAAGACATCGCTTATAATTTTTTTTAACTAGTAATAAGCATCAAGGAAAGTAGATCATCAGTAGTGGATATGCTCACAGTACATAATGAATAAAGAATTAAATTGAGATTAAAGTTTATGTTTGTGGTTAGGAAAGGGTCTGTTAATAATGATAAAATTGTTCTTTAAAATAATATTTCACTTTTTAGCTGATTTATAAATATCTTTGTCAACATAAAATGCTTGGGCTATTGAACTGCTATGGGGGTACCTGTATGTTTTACCCCATATCTCGGTGAAAAAACTGATGACCAATAAATTTATCATGCCTATAAGATACTTCAAGCATTGGTTGCTATAATTTAAAACAAAAAAATCAGGGTAAACAAATCAATTATTCTAATAGAGAGCTTTATTTGAGTTTTGATGTTCGTTACTTTATTAGTGAAATGAGATTAATTAATCAATATTTTCTTAATTTTAAGCAGAAATGTGTACCATAGCCTGACATTATTAAATATTATCCTTATCCTTGTAATTTATGTTCAGAAGAATTTATTTGCCATGTGCTATGACATAAAATGTAGACAGTCTTTATAACCGTGATGATTTTGCTTTTTCTACAAGAGGGTTCATGAGTGTTTCACACCCTATCTCAGTAAAAATAGCGATTATCTTTGTACTTTTTGTGCTTTTGAAGTAGATAAAGTATCTATTTATGTAAATCAGGACAAAAATTGCACCATTATCCAATTAATTCTACGAGTAGGGACCTACCTTAAATGTTCTACTTTCCTATTTGTAAGCATTATGTGTCCAGTGGTAAAGAGCCTATTAGGATAGCATAAAAAAGAATGTACCAATGTTAAAAATTGATTTATCAAAAAAAAAATTATTTCCTTCTCCTTCGGGACTTTTTAATTCTCATGTTCTTAACTAAATCTAAACATAAAAAAAATGCTGGCCTTATAATGAAGAAAGGGGCCTCTTTCAAAATAGATAATTTCTTAGGGCTGCGGGATCAGGGGTACCAGGGGGGTACTTTGACTAAAAATGAATTAATGCTTTGAAATCTGCCCTTTGATAAGCAATGGTGCCTCTTTCAAAATTTGTGAAAATATTTCATGGCTTTTGGATTAAAACACGAACCAAATATAATTTATGGAAAGTTGATACATGATACTCAGGTGACCTATAAGGCCCGAGGGCCTCTTGTTACACTTTGTGTTCAATCATATAAGTATGATTGAAACCATTTAATTGATATTGGATCGAAATGATAGCATTTAAGTTTTCTAATTAGTAAATCGTGATTAACAAGATCAAAGGCTTTGCTTAAATCCAAACAAGTAATGCCAACAAAATTTCCTTGATCTATTGCATGCAGCCAATTATCGGTTAGTTTTGTGAGAGCTGTCTGGCATGAGTGAAATTCTCTAAATCCAGATTGTGCTTTCATTAGTAAATCAAAGTGAGAAGTTAAATTACGTATATTTTCTGCTACATGCTTCTCTAAAATTTTTGACATAGTTGGTAAAATTGAGATTGGGCGATACTAGTACAGTGGACCTTCAGATATCCGGACGCCAGATATCCGGACGCTTCACCTTCCGGACGATTTTTCTAGGGAACAGATTTTTTCAACGTAATTTTGACTCATTTATCCGGAATTCCGCGTTCCGTATCCGGACGGCTCTTTTTTACTACAAAATGTATTTTTACGTTATAAATTGATTCATTTATCCGGACGGTAAATTTTAATTTGTAATTCCATTCTTGTCAACATTCACGCCTGAACTGAGTGATAATTGTTATCAAAACACTGGCCGGATTGATTGTTTTTACAAGACGATCACCTGTGCCAGTATTATGGATGACTTACGATGATTAGTCCACAGATGAGATCGATACACAAATGAAAATAAACAATTAACTGTTGGTAACAGAAAACAATTTTCTATTCAGTTATTTCTTATCTGGAGATATTTATAATTTTAGTACAGATCTGGTTTTAAATATTTTTCTATTTATAGACGGGACGACATAGTTTTATTATCTCGTAGTCTACACATGGCACATACACATCGATATTGTGTAATTTTCATCCGAAGATTGGTGGCAGTTATCATCGAAAAAACTAAAACATTTTATCAAATTTGAATAATTTTAGACAATCAATGATTTCACTTGGGATGACTACTGCGGGAATTTTTATAATATCAAATTTAGCGTGGATGAGTGTTCAAATTAAAATTAGACTCGATACTGACAGCTGGCTTGGGTGTAATCAAAGCTGCACATGAGATAATTGGCTATGTTTATAAACTTATAGGAAATAGAGAGTAAAAACTAAGCTGGGTAATGAAAAATCTGCCCATATAAGCAGCGGTTATATCCAATGTTTGTCATTCTGCTCTCCAGCTACAGTCATGTCTACACCACCGACAAAGAGAGCGCGAGTCGGTATCTGGTTTTTAGCTATAGAAATATTTATTATATTTGAAAAAAAGTGTAAAAGTAGTGCTGATGTATACTAAAGATAAGTGTTTAAAAAAAAATAATTATTTCTAAATGATAACATTTTAATATCTTTCTTTGTATATAAGAGTTACAATACAAGTACATGTACAGTATATCTGGAAGAGAAATCAATAGAATTCAGATATCTGGACGCTTCACTTATCCGGACAATTTGCCTGGGAACCAAAGCGTCCGGATAAATGAGGCGCCACTGTAGTTTCCTGGGTCTGATTTATTGCCCTTTTTGAACAGGGGAGTTACTTTTGAGACTTTTAACTTTTGTCACAGGTATCGGCGAGGAATGGCGACCCGTGTTCGTGCTGGTTATCTTGCATTACCTTTGTTTATTTTTTATTGCAGTTACGTTCATCTATGTTGTTTGTATACTGCACTGACTTATGTACCTATAATTGTAAATTTATTTGGTATCTTACTTTCCTGCATTAGACGAAGTATTACGTTATTATTCCCGTGACCAAGCCCTGTATAGCATACGTCCGTCTACACCGATGTCCACTGATTAAACTGAACAGTCTCTAATTCTTGCCCTATTTATAAGGGTCTGCAGGGTAGCGAGTCTCAGGAACTAAAATGGCAGATACATTTCTTTAACGAATCGTGTTCAGCTTTAAGTACATGCCAAGATTGCAACAAAATAAACTTACAACACAAGCATTTCTCTTTAAATTGCAGGAATAGTCACATTTAGTTTACAACTTTAAGTATTTACATTAAATAAAAGTATGTATTTACACTAAAATTTGTCTGCAGATAATGCTTTGTTACAAAGCCAAATGTAATAACTCAAAGTGTAATAAACTACAGTTATTACATTTTGTATTATAACTTTTTTTCTGCCAGAAAAATTAGGAGAGAGTGAAACAGACAGAAAAGAAAATCACAATAAAATACTGAAAATTGTTGGTAAGTACATTTATATGTAAAAAAAAAAAAAAAATCACTGGAATAAGTTTTTGAACTGATTTGAGGGAATTTAGTCAAAAGAATGACTGCACTTTAAGACATGCGAAAATTGACACAAAATAAACGCAAGTGAGTTAAGGCTAAATATGAATATTTCTATGCAAATGAGCTTATAAAAATTCATAAGCTATATATTTTATGTACAGAGATTGATTGATTGATTGTATATTGTTGAACGTCCCTCTTGAGAATTTTTCACTCATATGGAGACGTCACCGATGCCGGTGAAGGGCTTCAAATTTAGACCTATACTCGGCACTCAGGGCCATTGAGCAGTGAGGGTTCTTTATCGTGCAAACGCCTACGGTGACACGGGACCTACGTTTTTAAGGTCATATCCGAAAGACCCGTGACTTTCAGATCTAGTGCCGAGCGCTTGGAGAAGGAACAGTCACTACCTTTGTTTACGTCTTAGGTATGAGGCGGCGCCGCGATCGAGAATCTAACCCGGGCCTCCCGATCACGAAGCGAATGCTTTACCACTAGGCTACCGTGATCGGTTTATGTACAGAGAAAGGTCAATTTGATTTTCTTATACATACTAAGTACCAACAGTTTATTTAACCCCCTTCCCCACAGTCACGCATTTTAACGCATATACCGTTGCCCCACAATCACGCATTTTAACGCATATACCTTTACCCCACAATCACGCACTTTAACGCACATTGCGTTTTTGACGTTTTCTGCTCTGATTCAACGCAAAGTTTTGATGGTACATGTATGACAATAAATGATAAGATAATTATTTTTTCTAATTTCATTCTAATATATTTCGCAAATAATAATATTTTTCATCGTTTTAATATGTTCAAGTAGGTCGATTTATTAGACGAAACTTTGGGTGCGGCATGTGCGAGACAAATTAAGAAGGTTTTTCTTTTGACACTAAATAAGCCCGCAACTTGAACCACTCGGTTGGTGATGTGATTGTCCCCCAATATTGTGTGAGATGGGTTCTATGATTCAGAATTTATAAAATTCTTTAAAATCAATATTTTTTTGTAAATATTTGATGAAAGTATGTGCAAAAATCGACAAAAGGAATAGATAAAATTACAAAAAAAAAAAACAACTGAAGAGAAAAAAGGTTTTGTTCATAGAATAAAGTTTTGTTTAAATTTACATTTAATCTTATTTTTTGGTCGATTTAAATTCCAATTCGTAAAAATAATGTACCATTTCATTGTTTCCGCCTAACACAGCAATAAAAAATTCATAATTGGAAAGGAAAAAATACGACAATGTCATGTTGAAAAAGGGGTAAATTTATTCAAATCTGAATGATTTCATTATCAAGTCAACGTTTCCAATATTCGTAAAAAAGTGTTGCACTAACTCGTATGTATTGGTTTTTAGAAATATACGTTCATGTATATGTACATAAAACAAGGTATTTGGTAAATTTTTATGGAAAAAAACTACATACTTGATTGATATTTTTAAAAACAGGGCTGGACAAACACGTCTGTGGGCCAATACTCGCTAGTAATACTAGTGATACCCCGCTCTGATGTGAAAATACAGATACATGTAACTCTCGAAACCTCGAAGTCCGCGGGATCGAGGAAAAACTTCGAGAGATCAAGAGTTCGAGTTTTCAAGAGTCCGGGTTTGTTTGACAGGTTTTAAAATTAGTCATACCCAATGTAATGATTTTCATGCAGTTCTTACCTGTATTTAAATAAAATTTACACAAGTTCAGTTACGTGCATATGCACGGACAAATAAGAAGTTGATATCAGATTCATACAAAAATAAATCCCATCATATGGCATGTCATAACAAAGCATATGTGCTAAAAAATTCAAACAACTGCATTATATATATGTACATGTGTAGTTGCTGGAAAAAAACTGCAACGGCAATGTTTTATTTTTTTGTACGACAGACGCACGGATGAGCAGGGAATTAATATCGGATTAAAAAAAAATAAATACCACGATATAGCATGCCTCAGTGAAGAATTTGCTAAAATATCAAGCATCTTTGATGAGAAGTTGCTGCAAAAACTGCGATCAAAACTTTGTTACGGACAGACACACAAACAGATAGATAGATGACTAGGTAAAACAGTATACCCCTTTCCCCTCCCTCTCCTTGGCTTTGGAACGGGAATATAATTAAAAGGCGTGTCTACTGATAATTCTCATTTGAATATTCCTTGATCCACCTTGAGTAGGTTTAAATTTTCAGTGTATTCAAAAATTTTCACTTATCCCTGATGCATGTAGTTTAAGAATAAATATATAATTTGTATTTGTGTACTCTGTAAGTTCTAGTTTGTCAACACTGCATACTCTAGGAATGATAGGTTTAAGAAAAAAATATTAACTTTCTATATAAAGACAACGATACGGTCTGATGTGATTCTTCGACCGGCTATATGTTTTTGTTATATACATGCACATGTAGGCGTCGGAAGCAAATTGAAAGTTTGGGGGGGGGGGTAATTGAAAGTGGGGGAATAAACCAACAAAAAAAGGTAAACCAAATTTTCAATGCCTATACATGTATTATGTATATATTTGCAGAAAAATAGGGGATAAGCCCCCCCCCCCCCCCACACACACACACACCGTTTCTGACTCCTATATGTAATATACCGAAAAAAAAAAACACTTGACATCCAACTTGTGAATGAACAGTTAACTCCTGACTGTATTCAAAGGGTAGTGCAGTAGAGATACATGTACATGTAAAAACTCCATTCTTTGCAATTGGGGGGGGGGATCTTTCACTTACAGCGATCTTAAATATTTCCTAAATCTATCTCCGGAATTACCAGTATATTTAGCATTTCTGGCATTTTTTTTAATTCCTCAATCAACAGCTTATTATATAGAAGGCCTGATCAGAAAATTATGTACTTTATTTATATAAGCTCAGAAATCATACTCAACAATTCCGACATTTTTTATCTCTCCGATTTTTTTAGGGGGGGGGGGGGACATGTATACCAAGTTTATGAATAATCGATGAGTTAAAAAAATCAATCATATATTTGAGTTATATTTTATCAGTGATTGCACTTTGTCCGAGACACATGATGCTGATCTCAAATTTAGCATGCTTTTCTTTAAAAACGAAACAAAGCTTTTATCTTTATTATTTTGATGTCAATGATTTATTGTTCAATTTTGATTTTCAGTTAGTAAAGTCTTTATTCCCAGTTTTATTATCTGAAATTTACTCTTTCATAAATGTCGGAAAATAAAAGTTAACAAACAATTGCCGATAAACTATGAAATATCGGAAAGAAAAAGTGGCTAGAATATATTTTTTTCATTACTGAAATAAAGTGCCGTCAAAATATTGAGATAATCTGTTTATTATCCATTCTAATTTATATCGACATTTATTTCGGTCAGGATTGCATATCTTTTACAAACACATAAATAAATTATTTTTTTTTTTTGCCGTTAACTTGTATATTCTAATAATATGATGATCATGGGGATAACCTAGAAATCACAAAAGTATAGATGTTGAAAAATCTGTATATCTACTACGCACCAACTACTTATAGATCCTCAGTGATTAATTTTTATTGTATACTATGTTTCTTAATCTAACTTTATTTTCTGCAAGTTTTTTTTAAATAAACTATTCTTTTCCTACAAGTGGACAGGTATCATCAACATCGACGCTACATGTTCACAAAATTCATTTTTTTTATTTCTCAAGAACTGCAGCTACAATTAATGCATTTCCAAAGAAACCTTTTAAGGAGTACTCCTAGATTTGCTCCACAAATACTCGGAATACTTCGGGCACCATCAGGAAAAATGTCGAGTACTGACAGCTACGTCCGAGAAGTTCTTGGCCTCTCTTGTAAACTATTACATATAGTTTTTAAAAAGTGTTGAAATTCCATTCTTAAGAAGAAAAATATTGCATTTCGATAGGTTTTTTTTCCTTTAATTATTTATTTTTTTTAAATTAACCTTTAGACATTAAAAAAAAGTTTTTGCTTTATTTCATGGCTTTTTAAACGTGCTGATATTTTTAGTAGTCCGCACGTGGGTGTAAAAATTATCCCAATCTTGGCTAGCCAAGGGTTATCGATCCTCTTTACATCTCAACCATAGTAGATTTCGAATCAGGGAACCTTAGCTAGAAAGGATTAGATATATAATGCTAGTTTTAGACTGATAATTTTAGTGCCGAGTCCGACGACGGTATCTCGTCCGTATATCGGCAAAATTATTAAAAAGATGTGATCAGTTAAATTTTGACTTAAAAAATGAAATGTTTCCCTTTGACAATCAACACGCTACTGTATTGTTAAATATAAAATTAAGCGATATATTCCAACAATTTTTTTTTATGTAAAAACTCTTAATAAATAAAATTAAATATGCTGAAAACTTCTTTTTTGTCCTAAAAAATCGGTAAAATAACTTTTATAAAAATCTTCTCAAGTAAGAATCATTCTCTTCCAGAACTATTTCTATTTTATTTATAATTAAAGATTCTGCAAGTTTCCTGCATTAGTTTCGATAAAGTCGATATGCATGGACCGAAGAAATAGAAGGGGGGGGGGGGGGTGGTAGGGCGCAAGTGTCGTACTTAAACACGAGCATAAAATGACACCCTGTCTGAAAAGTCAAATACCGTTAATTATTTTCATTGACGTTTTAGATTTAAATATGAAATTTAAAATTAATAAGTTGTAAGTAAAGATAATAAATTAAGTTTGCAACAATCTTCATGAAAGAATTATTTAAACAAAATAAACAGTATTAAATCTCCATCAATACTTGAATTCTAAATTAAAGATGGTTGCATGTATATGGCGATATATACAACAACCATTGCTTCATACACCGTGTAAATATTCATTTTCAAAACCACGTCTTTTCAGCACGTAATCGCAAGTGCGCTGTGGGGAAAAGGATAACGTCATCAAAAAGTAACAAATGTAATGCTACTATTAC